ACCGAATCTTGTTGATCAAACTTAATTTTGAATTTCTGTACAACAAAGGATAAAGCTGCCGAAAGGTAATTTTGAATTTTGTTTTCAAAATATCAGTATGTTTCTGCCAGGTCAACCTCTTGTCAATGATGACTCCAAGATACCTGACAGATTGCTGACGTTTTTTAGTACAATAGATTGCCTGCGTTTTCGAAGTATTAATTTTGATCAACCACCGATCCGCCCACTCCAATACTTCCTCTACCGCACTATGCAGCCTGTTGTGAACTAGGTTACCAGAACAAGACTAGGCTAGCAATGCAATGTCGTCAGCATAGAGATAGACTTCAGAGTTGCTGGGGCAAGGGACGTCATATATATAAAGTGAATAAAGGATTGGTCCTAAGACCGAACCCTGAGGAACACCGACTCTTACGGGCCGTGTTGTTGACAACACATTGTTAATTTTGATCCGAAACTTCCTTTCTTCTAGAATTTTCAACAGTTTTAGTAGCCAAAATGGAAAACCCTTTTGGATGAGCTTATACAAGAGGCCCATGTGCCACACCTTGTCAAATGCCTTTGATTCATCTAAAAGCAAGATACCAATACTTTTGTTCAGGGTGAACCCCCTGGTTACATGCTCCACCAGTCTAACTGCCTGTAGTTCCGTACTATGCTCAGACCATGAGAAAACCGTAACTTTACGTTCATTAGGAGTTTTTTAGAAATATCACAAGCAGACAGCGTTAGCCCACGAGTGACTTTGTTTACAATTTTTATGGCGTCACATCATGGCTGATAGTGTTTTCACCGTTTCACATTGAATGTGAAAATATCGTCTCATGAAAGATGAAGATGTTCAGGTTCATTTAGTAGTCTATAAATTCAATATTGCTTTTACTTTGGATATTTTCATTAGGAGCTTTATTCTACTTTACCTGTGATCTTGCAGGAAGGGTGCAAAATATACACATATGTATATTCAATAATTTTTGGGGAAAAATACCAGAAAGTACATCCACATTAAGAATTATAATCCATATAAAAATTATTCTAATGCAACTTTTCAACGAAAACCAATGCACACGTCTTCGACACGCTGTAGTAACAAAGAATAGCCTAGAATCACCGTGCCAAATGCTTTAAAATGTTAATCATTTAATGCTATTCGTGCAATGATGCCACTGTCCAACATTTTTTGATATTTGCTTCTTTATAGCAACTTTAAGTTCGTCAAGCTTCTGGGATATTAACAAACTGCTCTTATGACGCGAATAAGAAGTTATGGCAGGATTGACTCCATGTTAGTATTTCTTTCTTATTTTCAATAGAGCCAAGTATTCAGATTGACCAACATTATCCATTATGCGTGGCCTATATCTTAATAATAGAATATAGAATAATCGAAAATACCTTAGTTTGCACAAGTATCGTGTGTTAAGAAACATCGATGAAGATTCTATATTTTTCAACAAAATTCTTTGTAGTGATAAGCCTCAGTGCAGAAAAGAGAATTCCCACGCAATACGTGAATATCCTTCCCAGACACAGCTTAGAGTAAATCTGTAGACTGGAATACTGAAGGTGACGGTGATTGGCCCATATGAATTAGTACGAACATTAACGCGGAAAATTTACCGGGACTTGAGTCTTACTTTTATATTTTATTCTATTCACCCATGAACAAGGAGTAAGTATTCCTTGCGGTGGAACACTCATTTATTTATATTTATTTATGCTGTAATGAATTGTGCGAATAATATAAATAATTATGGTCATATTTATGCCGAAAATTTTTGCTGTCGTATTACACGTAAAAGAATTCTTGTGAATATTTTCATGGTGAAAATGTAAAACTCTATAGAATATGCGCGAGAATCGGCGCAGAGGGTTATTTACGTGCATGTCAATATCAAATGTCAACGTCAACAACATAACCTCACTTAACATTTATGGGTGTGGTCCTGTTCGAGTCGTGCGAAGAAGCGTTTATTGTTATTGTTTATTCATAATGTCGTGGAATCGGGAAGAAGTTACACTGTTGTTGGAGGAGTACCAAAAATGGCCAAACCGGTACAAGGTGAAGTCACCCAATTACAAAAACAGAAATTTGCGATAGTCCAAGCATTGAGAAGTTTTATGTTAACCAAGATCTCGATTACAAAAATGAATTCAAATCAACAACGTCTGTTGTCTTTCAGATTATATTGGACGTCATACCCGTTAGGGTCATGTCCTTTCGAAATATTCGAAAATATTACTCTAATGCGCAGGCGTATCATATGAATTACTCGGAAATTTTGTTTGCTTGTGTCATACAGGTTGTAGAGAAAATCTTCAATATTTTTTCCATGCAAATTTTCGGCATAATTATGACCATAATTTTCGGAGTAATTCTCTTGTATGTAAAACGGCTCTAAGAAACGGGCTGCCTAATCTGTTGGAATATATGCCAATATTGATAAAACGAGAAATGTGGCTGCAGCGCTGCACCGCCCTTGTACAGGGCGTCCCAATATTCCGTAGACATAAAGACATTTTTTCTGATATTTGTGGAACTGATAGTCCGATTTGAATAAAATTAGAAACACATGTGTTTTGCTAGATGTCATTATATTTGAATTTTACAAAAAAAAACGAGAGGTGACGAGAAGGGTGAAAACTGCCCTCACCCCTACATATATTATAGCAGGTTTTTTTCGCAATTCTTGATTGTTTTTTATTTAGCAGATCTTTTTATTTAATTCATTTCTTAACTGTTATAAAACAGATCATCTCGTATAGTTTTGTAGTAAAAAGACGAATATTAGAACAGCTAGCAAAAATTGTGTACCAAAGGTCATTCAAAGCGGACTATCGGTTCTTAAAATACCTTCACGTGTATTTCAAAAAGAAAACCTATTTTGAGTCTTACGTGGTACTTCCATGTCAAATGAATACTGGGACACGCTGTATACGACACTACACTGGTACCGGGAGTACCGCAGTAAAGGAACGGGCGATTGTGTTTCTTTGAAAAAGAACTAGAATACACTTTGCACATTACCTATAATACTGACTTAAAACGTATACATATATGGCCTTTGTGTAATTCTCTAAAAATCCAAATATTTCACATCAAACTGTTGCGTTACCACATATCGTCGTCCATACCGCAGACAGGCGTATCTGACAAAATATCAAATTCGAGTTAACGGATTCAAATCAACAAGGTATAGCATACCTTCAATCCCGCAAAGTGGCGTAACTCTAAGTAGTTCACTCATAGAGATATCAGCATAAAACTAAACGTCGTATCTCTCAGAAATGAAATACAATACACCGCAAATAGGCGTAAATGAAGATACGCCTACATGCGGTGTCCATTTTTTGCTACTCTCTCAGTGGTAACTAAGATATGTCCTTTTGACTTACAGAATACATATGATGTTTTGTCCAAATTGAGTCACACCTCATCTGAAAGCGATCCCTTTGCTGCAGTCGAGATTTATAATCCGGAAGATCCGGACTATCATCAAACTTGTGAAGTTAAAAGCTGTAAAGGGTATGTGTTCCCAGGCAGAAGGTGATAGGAAAAAAAAAGTCGGAGAAGATAAAAGAAGAATTGCAAAAACGTTGAGGAATCAGGGCGAAACATGTATTATATTTCGCCTGTAACTAAGAAAATTGTGAAGGAGAAAGCACTTAAGGGAATCTGCAATATAGAAATGTGTAAGAAAAGAAAAAGTATGTGTTATTTGTTCAGCAGTCCTTTAAGAACAATGATATTCTCACAGTTTTATAGTCTTGGTGACCTCCAACAACAAAGAGAGTATATAGCACGCTTTTTTTTATCTGAAAACCCAAAACATAGAACTACAAATAGCAATGATCCACGCCGTAAGCAAATACATTATTTTTTCTTACCTCTAGAAGGTATCCGACAATTAGTTTGTAAAAAAATGTTCCTTGGGACCCTTGGGATAAGTTAGAAAGTTTGCAGAACCCTAATAACGAAATTGAATAGAACAACGAGTGTGCTAGAAAAAGAAATTTGTGGAGGTCGACGGGAGTTACAATCATCAAGAGACATAGTCATTAGAAAAAGTATTATAGAGCGCATAAATAGGTTCGCCAGAGTAGAGTCACATTACTGCCGGAAGTCCTCAACTAAACAATACCTACATGAAGATTTATCTCTGAGTACAATGTATCACATGTACAAACTGGAAGATCAACAAACAAAGGGAAGTTTTTCTTTGTATAGAAAAATTTTCAGATCCATGAACCTCTCATTTCACAAACCAAAAAAAGATTAATGTGGTCTTTGCAAGTGTTACAGAGAAGGATCGGAAGAAGAAAAGGCTAATTTGGAAAAGGAATACTTGGCCCACATTTTAGAAAAGGAAACGGTAAGAGAAATAAAGAATAGCTGCAAAGAAAAAGCTAAAAATGATACAAAGGTGCTACATTTGATCTCCAACAAGTTATATACTTACCAGTTTCTAATCATTGTTCCGTATTTTATAAAACACGGCTTGCTGTCTACAATCTAACTATGCATGAAGTACTATAGCATCTCGAGAATGTTTTGTTATACATGGAGTGAGACTGAAAGTAAACGTGGTAGCTCGGAAATATCGACTGCTGTTTATTTATTTATTTCCGAAAAAGACAAACAAGGCTACAATACTGTTGACTTATTTGCTGATGGTTGTAGTGGCCAAAATAAGAATTCGATAATGGCTACCACTCTTTTATATCTCGTCAGTAATTGTTCAAACGTTAAAGAGATATCGTTAGATTTGTTTGCCTCTTGTCATGGACAAAATGAAGGCGATTCAGCACATAGTGCAATAGTTACGCTTTGAAAAATCCAGGTGAAATTATTGTGCCGAGCCTGTTATTGCCAGTCTATGCATTAGCAAGGAAGAAACAGCCATATAAGGTTCGTCCTTAGACTATCGTAATTTTTTTGACCTCAAAAACCTCGCATCAGACTTAAGAGTATTATCTATTCGAAATGATGATAAAGACATGGATGTGAATTGGAAAAATATGATAGAATTCAAAGTGACAAGTGATAATTGCAACAAAATCTATTTCAAGACTAGCCATAAGCAAACAGACTACAGGTCCATAACCTTGAAAAGAAATGTTTCCGATATTTTAAAAGAAGAGCTGTCTCCTCGGAATAGCGACCTATGAAAAATCACAAATAAAAATCTTCTTATTTTTGTTCTGTAATATCCTTGAGTTGCTTGAGTATTATTTACATCTGAGAATAGTGTTTTTTTATTTAATCTAATTTTATTCCATATGGAGTGAAAGGCGTATCTTCAAACCGCTAGACTATTGTAATTGTCAAGGTTACCGCAAAGAGGCGTATCTGGAAAAAAAAAATGTAAAACATGTTTAGCTGAGAATATGAATTTCCTTTCCTCTATATACTTCTCAGAAGATAATGAACACACTTTTTAGCTATGTTATTGGAAGAAATTATGCTCATATTGTCTAAAGTAGTAAAGATATATGAAATCAAATAACTGTCGATATTCATTTTGCTTCTACTGAAAATTCATATAAAATGAGTTACGCCTGTTTGCGGTACGGACGACGATATTTATTACGAATTTTAATTGAAGCAATTTATCAGTGCGGCGGCAACCTTCTGAACGCATGTACATAAACCACCCCATCCAGCCCAGCGAGCCACCCTCCGACTCCATCACCGGGATGAAATACAACCCTTCGCGCAAAAATACGTCGAACACAGCACCACCTGGTGGCGCCATTCCTCATCCGGGCTGTCACAGGTGATCCCCTCACAACACACCCTCCGCTCTGCGGGGGTTGAAGGTTGAATCTTGCCTCGCTGCTTCGAAGCACGTAGCTGTGCTACATATAACTCCATTCCTAATAATGATAAATGTTCATCAATATACCGGGTGTTTTGAATTCGACCATCAGCAACGGAGGCCCGGAAACTGTCAGAGATAATAGGGATACACGAGTATTCAACGTCCAATAAATAAATCCAGGCACTGATCATTCCTGGCCGTATTTGACAACTGCGCAAGCGCAGTAAAACAAAGATAAGACTTGGAATTAATAATGCTAGTACCTGTCACTATTACAGGACGCTTACAATCGTGGCCCAGCCAAGACTATGTATTTTTCAAGAGTAGCCATTACATTTTGACGTCTACTGAAGTGAACAGCTGATCACAAAAGTGACATCTTTGTATGAGTCTGTAACGTTGGCAATAATGAATCAGGTGTAAATCCAGCCATTTTGCTTGTATCGTTTCTGTTTTATTTGCAAAGCAACTTTTCTGAATAAAATAAATAGTAGCTTGCCACATTGCTCTAAAATATTTCTACCAGTATCTTAGTAGTATACCCTTTCATGGTTTTCCTTCTCGTAAATAACACAAATAAGTCATTATGCTGTTGTTCATTAGACGAAATAAGACCAAGTCTAGGAAGATTTCTTTATTTGGATATTTGAAGTTTTATTTCAAACCCTATCCGTTAATGTACATCACTAAAATCGGAAATAGGAATTGTTTAGCTGTGCGCAGTTTCTTGGCTGATCATATTATGAAACAAATGGCTATCTGATATTTTCAAGACCTACTTAGGGAATACTATGTTTTGACAGTGTTAATTTCACAATGTTAATAAACAGTATAGTACTCATTTTTTTAATTCTATTTATCTATGTAGTACTCCAATATAGTGTTGGTAAGAAAAAATAATGCAGATGGTGGAAGACAACAGATGAAACGTCATATTGAAATTCCAATCACGTCACCTTGTAGAGACGAAAAAGTAGCAATGTCAAATGTGCAATTCATTGTGAAAACCCTCTTCCCATAAAGTCAGGAAGAAATAAGTGATTATGGAAGAATCTCCGGAATGCCAACCTTTTTAAATGTCATTTTATTAGTTATCTGAATACTAAATCTGGCTCCCGTCTATTCGACTTGGTGTGTCCGGTATAGTCTTCCGTCGAACCCCTGTATACAGGGTGTTCATTTGAAAACCACTGATTTAAAGAAAAAACGCCGAGATACGTTGAAAGACTTGTCAAGAGGGACAACTTTTTTACCAAAAGCTACTTCCCCCCTTTTACCCTCGGCCCCCAGGGTCATTCTCTTAAAAATTTCAAATGGCAAGGGGCATCGAGTGATAGCTTGTTTCAAAGTCATTTATTTTGACGTTTGATTTTTTAAAATCAGTCGATTCGTTGTCAAGAAAATTAGAAACATCTTTATTTATCTTATACTGTTCAGATAGAAAACAAAATCACACAAAACTATCACTTTTTATATCAATAAGTGTTCGAAATGTTGCCCATTAGGATTTGCCAAATCTATAAGTCGTTTATGATTTAAGACGAACCTAGCAGCATAAACAGAAATTGGGAAGATTAGACGTAGCAACAACCAAATAACAACACGAATTTTCCGCATTCTTTTCATCAACACAGATATCCTGGGCGAACTGTATTTATTGTTATACCTGTTAAGTTATTTGTTGCTAAGGGAAAGAAAGAAATTAATTTGGTGTCAGTTACCTTTGAGACAGTCTTGGGATAGTGAAAACTAATTTATTGATTCAGATTTTACTCCCAAAATGGTTTACACAGTAGCCGAAAGAGTAAAAATTATTCTAATTCATGGTGCCCAAACTGCCGTCACATTTAACGCCAGACATCCGTTGAAGATATCTTCGCATAGGTATGTTTTGGACCGTTACTAAAATTACTCAAACTGTTGCAAATGAAAAGAGTAATCATCGGAGATTTTTGGATGTAACCGCTCAAGTTGAAGTTTTTGGTCATTTTGAAATAAGTCCTTCATTACGCAAAATTGTTGTTGCGACTGGTGTTTCGTTAGGCACGGTACATACAATTACTAAACTACATAAATGTCATCCTTAAAAAATGAAAATATTGCAAGAGTCAACCGAAGATGATTTCGATGGGCGCGTTGAGTTTTGTAAACAAATGACTACAGCTATTAATGATAATACCATTCATGTAAAGAATATCTGCTTGAGTGATGAATGCACATTTTATCTAAATAGGTTTGTTAATAAGCATAACTTCAGGTATCGGAGCAGTGAAAATCCTCATGCTTCTGTAGAAGGGCATACACAGTACCCCCAAAAAGTGTATGTATGAGCAGGCATTTTGAATGAAGACATTTGTTTGGATATGTTGGAAAATACCATCAATCCGCTTATTACTGAAACCATTGAAAACCAAATCGTAGAGGATGGAAACCCTATACTTGATGAGGCTGAAATATATTTCCTGCAAAACGGTGCTCCTCGTCACTATGTTCTTCCGGTTCGGCAATGGCTAGACGACCAGTTTCCAGATGAATGGATAGGGCGGAGAGGGCCTATAGAATGGCCTGCTCGATCTTCCGATTTGACGCCATTAGACTTTACTCTATGGGACCATATTGTGTTTACTCCCCAACCTGAAAGATTGGATGACCTTCGTCAACGCAGCATCAAAAGCTGAAATGATATCCCACAACATGTTTTTGAAAATGTCCGTCAGGAATTTGAACATCGCCTATATCATTGTTTGGCCAATAATGGGAAACATTTTGAATACTTATTCATATAAAAAGTGATATTTTCGTGTGGTTTCAATCAGTGGTTTTTGATAAATCCGTGGTGAGAAGTTTTCAAATGAACACCCTGTATGTACGGACAAATATGAGGTATCCATTCTTGTTCTCAAATATCTGGGATCTAGTCTGAACGAAACTACAATATAAATCTGAATTCGACAGGCAAATACACTGATACATGCTTTCTTATTGTTGAGACCTATTATAGGAGCTTCTAACATGGTAAAGTTTTACTGAATGCATGCTCGATTTTCCTGATGTATAAGCTGAAGTGGTCGGATGGGGTAAAACATGAATTAGATGGCGTAACTATGTATTTCAATGTTCAAACACGTTGAAATTGAAGCACCAACTATAACATTAATTTGCAAGTTACCTTAGCTCTATCAGATTCTCCATAGCTTGAAAACTTTCCATTATCGAAATTTAAACTCTTAATCACGACATTATAATCTACAACAGATTCAGTCAAATCCACCGTACCTCCCTCGCTTTCCAGTATGTCTTATGCTTATGTTTTAGATTGCAAATCGTTTTTCCCACTGTATGGGTGATAACGTTGACAAATTTTCTCCAAATTCGTAGGTCGTTCATCAGATGGTTAGAAAAGAAATAAGAAGCGTCTCGGAGCCTGCAGTAGTCAATAGAATCCAAATAACGCGAGTAATTTATATTTATTTGTAGGTCCGGCTTGGTGCGGCGTGGCCGTGCCATGGCTAGGACGTATATCCACATTAGACGGATAAATTGTCTGCGACGTGTCGTGTACCCATCAAACATTAAGTATTCAACCGTGTGCCCGTGTGCACGCAGGTCATCAATCAGGGCCGTACAAAGTGTAGTGTTCTGTTCCCGCTCACATCAGCCATCAGTTGCGGCATTGAGCTGGACATGCCGCTCATCAGTGAGTCCGGATGCCATTTGGAATTTTAACGTCATCTGTATCTCTAAGCTCCTCTTTTGCTAGGTTGCATAGTATTTTAAATGATTAAAACTTTTAGCAAAGCTACTATACAGTGGCACTTTTTACTGTGAAATCGACTATGCAGCGCAATATGCCTCACAGTTCCTGATCGCCTATTGTATTTCTTTCTGACATTGCCCTTGAGATTCCTTGTATTCATGTGATAGCTGGTCGTCCTCGTTTCCTTTTATTGTCGATACCACGTGAATAGTATGAAGGTTGCATTCTGACTGAATAACAAAATGTAAAGTGCAATGTTTGAATGATAAAATGAAGAAAAAGGTGCTGACAGTCTTCCTGCTTTTGTCCCACGAATGACTTTGAGTTTGAAACTGCTAAAGCAGATATCGGTCGCACTTGGCGTGCGCCAGTGGTCGGGGGTTGCAAATATTGAATCTAGGTAGTCAATTCGAACGACTTATAAAAGCAGGTAGTAGGCGGTGCGGTGAAACGTTAATGCACATACGAGGTGCGCATGATATATTTATATATAAGAGCTATGTTTGGAGTGTAAATTAATGTGGTTACTTGATTTCGTGAGGTAATATTATAATATACCAGGAGGTATCCAAGAATAACCGGAATAGCATTGCAGTGGACGGAGCTTGTGTAGTACACATTTCTGCCCCTAGAGCCGTACAGCCGTACAGTTCAGTGTCACTTAAGTTGTCGATCTGGCTTGTTTCGTTCTTCTGTAGTCATTATTTTTGTCAGAGCTGTTTCGTGCTTGTTCCGTTTTTTACGATGGCAACCTCAGTCTGCAAATTTTGCTTTGTAATTGGTAAACATGCTGCTGAAACTATTTTAATGTTGAAAGGTTACTTTGTGAAAAAGTTGAAAATAAATAGCTTTTAAAAAAGTAATTCCGGTTTCTTTTTGGGTACCCCCTCGTATACTATACCAGCGGAGCATTGTTTTGGATAAGGGGCAAATAAAAACATTACGGTCGTTTGTCCGACTTGTAAAGGTCTATCTGAATGACCAATAATATATAGGACATTC